AAAACCTTATATTTTCTGAATAAACACCACATAAATGATATTTTAAATATTCCAAAGTAAAAACTTTTTTACTTAACCTAAAATTGCTGAATGCAAATCTCAATTTTGTAAGTAAAATGCGAGCTGCATAACACTTCTTAACAAGGCCTGCAGCATGGTTTCTACATTGTCTGCTCCTTCGTTTCATAAGTTTCATTGAAACAAAATAAGTGACTAAAGTTGATTTTGTTAAAGTACAACAATAAATACTCTCACTCTTCCACTGTCCTTTTTTGAAAACAAATATGTTTGCAATAATGACATGCAATAATAATTGTTCATTTTTTTCCTTGCTCTCCTGCTCTTTGCAACTTTCAACCAAGATTTTCCTTCTTTTTTTTTTCGTATTTATTAACATCGAGATTTTGACATTTTTCTGCCATTTTAACAAATATAAAAGTGTTTTGTACTTGGTCAAAATAAAGCTGCTTGAATGTAAGGCAAATAGTCATAAACAACACAAAGGATTTTAAACATTTCCGGTTTACCCCTTGAACAATTTAGAGATATCTGGTTTGTTTATTGTGATCTTTTTTGACATGGAAATTTAGGTGCCTTGTAAGTTTTTTTTTTTTTTTTTTTGATGTGGTATGGGTGTTGGAAAAAATTTATTATTTGTTATTTTTCTCTTGCTTTTTCAATCAAAATAAAGAAGAAAAAGTTTCGGTTTTAAATACAGTAGTAAAGAAACAATTTTTAATTTTTCTTTAAGACAATAAAATGAATTAAAAAGTAATTAGGTGTCATTACTCATTTAGCATTTAAAACTGTTGTTTAATTACAAGTAGAACATCAGATTAAAAAAAAATTATTAAAATCTAATTTTGAAAGTCACTTTAAAGACAATCAAATGTAATTTAAAAGATAGAATGATTTTTAAAATATTCATTTGAGTAAAGTTAACATTTGCTTTTTGACAATTAAGTGTTAACTGTTTTTTAATAATAAATGGACAAGATTTAAAGCTTTGTTCTTAATAACAATATAGAATAGCACAAATTTAACTTTTGTATAAACTTTTGATCTTTAGCTTGCTATTTTATTTTACTTGAATATGAAACATAACTATTTATTATTATTATAATTGAATTATTATTTATTATTATAATTGAATATGAAACATAACTATTTATTATTATAATTATATATAAATATATACATAATTTATTATTAACATAAATAACTTTTATTTTACTTGATAAACATTTTTAAAAAGTTATGTTTGTCTCTTGTTTTTTTCTTGTTGACTTTATTAATAATAAAAATAATTATATATTATATAATATATAATAATTATAAAAATTTATAATTAATTTTTAAATAAAATTTAAATGAACAAAATTGCTGATATTTAAATTGAAATGAAAACTAAAACAATAGTAAACACACTTATTAAATGCTTATCTTTTATGTTCAAGTAGTTATTCTCCATATAATACAGGGCTTGAATTCGTGATTGCGAATCGTGATTGCTTTTCACACCTTCACGATTAGTTTTTTCTTAAAAAATATTTTTGCGTTTTGTTTTTTTGTTTTTTTTGGTTGTTTATTTATTTTTTTTCTAATTTAGCATTTTTTTTGGCAGTTCTTAAAAGTAATGTTTTTGCTATAAAGTACGTCACACTGAATTGAATGATCATTTTTTCTTTTGCACAGTGATTTTTATTCAGCGTATTTATTTCACTTTTAAATTTAAATTACTTTAAATCTCTGCGCAGAAGCCAATATTTTATGGAAGAAAATATTTTAAAAGTTTGTTAAAGCGAAATGTTGAAAAGGAATAGGACGTTAAAGAGTTTTTTAAGAAAAAGATTGAAATTTTTTTTTTTACTTCATTCATTTTTTTTAACAAAACAGCTTGGTTTTTATCTTTGTTTTTTTAAACGTTGCACTAAATTCACTTATTATAACTTATTATTTTATCATCAATTTTATCTAATTAATTTTCTACTTTAAGTATATTAAAATTTATATTTTTTTTGTTTTTATTAAAATTTCTTTCTTTTAGTTAATCGAAGCTAATAGAAACCAGCAATTTTTTTGCTTTAAGGTTTTTCGCTTAAACCTTGAACCTTTTAATGTTACAATTTCTTTGATTTACTGAATGGATAAAGTACATCACAGTAAATTTACTTATAAAACTAAATCAAAACAACCTATAACTGTAAGTTACTACAGTAACTTACAGTTACTCAAATATTAACTTATCAATTATTTTAATTTACTTATTACCCATCCAGTCGGAATCACGTGACTATATCGCGAAATCAAAAGTAACCATATTGAATTGGGGGAAAACAAACTAATCTTTCTTATACACAAATTTAAGAAAATAATAACTTTATTTAACAAGAAAACAATAACTTTAATTAACAAAAAAACAATAACTTTATTTAACAAGAAAACAATAACTTTATTTAACAAGAAAACAATAGCTTTATTTAACAAAAAAAAATAACTTTATTTAACAAAAAAACAATAACTTTATTTAACAAGAAAACAATAACTTTATTTAACAAGAAAACAATAACTTTATTTAACAATAACTTTATGTTCTACATTTACTTTAAAAGTTAATCAAAAGAAACAACAAATAGATGTCTGCAAGATATGTCTTTTAGGTGGTTTTACTTTATTTTGACACTTTTAGATCTCTGTTTAAACAAAATGATGCCTTATATTGCTTTCTACATATTATATTGGTTATTTTAGGGTATAAAAAGTGCTGATATTTTGATATTTATTTACCTGTACAAAATTAAGATGCAAATTAAAAGTAACCCACCAGTAATAAAGTGTACCGAACAAACATAAACATTTCAAAATTTTAGGAAACTATTGCTTGCTAAATGGTTTACTATCTATTATTCATTTCTTTTAGGTACTTTATCTTTAGGAAGACTAAAGTTTTTTGTTTTTTATTATTTTGTTAGTGATACCAACTGCACAACAACTTTTTAGGGTTTAAAAAAAAAAATAACTCAACAAACTGTAACTGATTTTTTAGTTTGTTTTCCCCCAATTCAAGATGGGTAATTTTAAAACAATACTTTTAAAATGGAGTGATGTCACGCTGACTGGATGGATATTCAAAGACTCGCTAAAGTTAGCCATACAATGTTTCTATTTATTATTTATATTTATGTTTCTTTATTATTTATATTTTCATTTTATTTAAAGCGATATCAAGATTAAACTACAAATATTATATTTCTATAAATACCCAAAATGTTTTTAGGAATTTTTTCACTAAAGAAATCTATTTAAACAAAAATTTTTAGTATTTTAAAGTTATTTAGTATTTTAAAATTGTTGAAATTATATTATGATTGAAATTAAAAAAAAGAAGAAACAAGGGAGAGTGGGGGAGAAATTTTTTTTTTTGTAAATTGTAAATTTTGTAAACGTTTTATAGTTAATTATATTTTGAATAGTTAGTTGTATTTTGTTTATTGAAAATAGTTTTAAAAGTTGAAACATTTTATTACAAACATTAAACCAGTGATTGAAATTAAATTATAAAAAATTTGAATTAAATTTAATAAATTATTTTATGTTTAAAAAAAAAATTTTCCAAAAAATTATTTTAAGCATATTATTAAACTTAAACAAATATAATTCGATTTATTAAACCAAATTTTTTTGTTTCACTTTTTATTGGAAAACAATTTGAATAAAAAAATTAAATGAAAACATCAATTTAAAAACCTTTTGAATGAAAAACTTAATTATACTTAAATTTTTATGCTAGATTGAGAAACAATTTACAAAAAATGTGGTAGCTAATGTTTTTTTAATCTTACTCTTTTGGTTTATAGATTATAGACTCCTATAGTCTATAGGCATGTTTTGTGCAAATATAAAGTTTTATGCAGATGTTTTAATTTATTAATTAGAAAAATTTTATTTATTTGACTCATTTTATTTTAAACACTTTTTATGTTATTAAGGTTATAAACTGTATAAAACAGCAGGAAACAATGTCACTAAGTTGTTTTACATTAACACAAGCTCTTTATATTTTTAAAACAACTTTGCAGAACAACATTTTATTGTTGTTCTATAGCTTTTTACAATATCAATTAAATACTCTTAAGAAATAACAAATGTTTTATTGTTAAATAGTTTTCTATGACTAATTAGAGTGGTTTAAATATTGTAGTGTTTGTTTTTTCTCTTACTTTTTTACTTTTACTTTTTTAAGTATCATGTTAAGTAAAAACAATTATTTAAAAAAATATCTTAATAGTGTTAAATACGTTACTTGCTCATTACACTATAACTGCAACTTTAAAGTTTGAATTATAGCTTAAGCTGTAAATTATAACAGTAACAAATTTTTTTGCATTAATTCGAGCTCTGTAATATGTTATAGTATATATAGAAACAACCCTCTGAAATAGGGTCATTTTGCAATGCAAAATGATGTTACCAAAACACACATTTGTAGTTTTATTCTAATTAATCCTTCTGAATTTATGTATAACAAAAAAATAACAACAAAATGAATTGAATTAACTAAAAAACACTTTCTAAAAGCTTTTTTCAATGGCTCTAAATAAATCTTTTTTGTTTAACTAAAAATGTTTTGAAAATAATTTAAGTTAAAACTGAATCAAAAAAAAAATTGCATTGTACTAGAAAAAATACTTTTTTTTTACCAATCATTTTCAACTTCTTTAGATTCTAAATAAGAAAATTAGAAAACAAACAACCAATAAATGTTTATTTATTTAAACTACTAATATTAGTTGTAAAACTAAATAAAGAACAACAACAAATCTTTTTAAAAGCTATAAAAAATTTGAAAAGCTCTAATTTGCTTACAGAATTTTCTTAAAAAACTGCATAAACTTTAGGAATTCAGTTCTGAAAAGCTTAGAAACTACTTAAAAATGAGATAAAAAATAGTGATCTGTAAATGTTAACTTCAGTATTATTATTAAATTATTTTTGTATAGATGAATTGGAACTTTTGAAACAGCATTTAAGTTCATTAAATAAGGAAAAACATATTGCAGTTTCTGAAAAAGAAATGTTAGCAAAGGAGAACAACGATTTAAAATTAAAGTTTAGTCAGATTAGTTTTGAAGAAGATATCGTGAAAAAGAACTTAACAGGTTTTTATAGTTTATACATTCATTGTACTAAATAATTGTTTTTTTATTTGTTTTGTCTATGTGCGTTAGATGTTTGTTTTGATTTTTGTTTTTTTTAGATGAATTGGAACTTTTAAAACAACATTTAAATTCATTAAAACAGGAAAAAGACATTGCAGTTTCTGAAAAAGAAATGTTAGCAAAAGAGAACAACGATTTAAAATTAAAGTTTAGTCAGATTAGTTGTGAAGAAGATATTGTTAAAAAGAACTTATCAGGTTTGTATAGTTTATACATTTGCTGTACAAAATAAATAATTTTTTATTTATTTTTTCTATGTAAATGAGATTTTTTATTTATTTTTGCTTTATAAGATGAATTGGAACTTTTGAAACAACATTTAAATTCATTAAAAGAGGAAAAAGACATTGCAGTTTCTGAAAAAGAAATGTTTGCAAAGGAGAACAACGACTTAAAATTAAAGTTTAGTCAGATTAATTGTGAAGAAGATATTGTGAAAAAGAACTTATCAGGTGTGTATAATTTATACATTTATTGTACAAAATAATTGGTTTTTTATTTATATTGTCTATATGCATAAGATGTTTTTTTTTTTGTTGTTGTTTTTTATTAGACGAGTTGCATTTTTTGAAGCAGCATTTAAATTTATTAAATGAAGAAAAAAACACTGATTCCGAAAAAGAAATGCTAATAAAGGAGAACAATAATTTAAAATTTGGTCAGATTAGCTCTGTTGAAGAAGATATTTTGAAAAAGAACTTATTAGGTTTGTATAATTTATAGATTTCTTTTAGAAATTGCAGTGTTTTTTTCCTTTTTTTTTTAAGGAAAAAAGTGCTGCCGTTTCTGAATTAGAAATGTTAGCAAAGGAGATCATTGGTTTAAGATTAGTTCAAATTAGCTCTGCTAAAGAGAATATTGCAAAAAAAAAAAAAACTTATTTGGTCTGTATAATTTATAGATTAGTTGTACAAAATTATTGATTTTTAGTTATTTTACCTAGATGCGTAAGAATTTTTTTTTTTTTAAAGATGAATTGGAACTTTTGAAGCAACAATTAAATTCATTAAATGAGGAAAAAAATGCTGCGGTTTCTGAAAAAGAAATGTTAGCAGAAGAAAACAATCATTTAAGATTAGCTCAGATTAGTTCTGTTGAAGAAGATATTGTGAAAAAGAATTTATCAGGTTTGTATAATTTATACAAATTTTATACAAAATTGTAAATTTTTAATTATATATATATATATATATATATATATATATATATATATATATATATATATATATATATATATATATATATATATATATATATATATATATATATATATATATATATATATATATATATATATATATATATTTAAGTTTTTTTCTTTAATTTTTCAGACGAATTGTGTTATTTAAAACAGCAATTAAATTCATTAAATGAGCAAAACAACATTGCAGTTTCTGAAAAAGAAATGTTGGCAAAAGCGAACAATGATTTAAGATTAGCTCAATTTAGCTCTGACCAAGAAGACATTGTGAAGAAGAATTTATCAGGTTATCATTTTTATATATAACATTTTATCAAATATATATACTGTTTTCAGTTTTTTATAAATTTTTTAGAACCTTGAGGCAATCTGATTTTTCATACAAAATAATTTAGTTTGCTAGTTAGACTAATGACGTTTTCAAAAATAAAAAAAAATGAAAATTGAATAATAATTCATTCAAATTCAAATGCTTAAATAAGTACCTTTTTTTCCATTTTTTGTGAAAGATCTTACATTTTTTTGTGGAAGATCTTTTTTTCCTGTACAAAAAGTTGATTTTTATTGCAGATATAGCATGCTTGGGCAGGAAGGCGTGCATTTTCACGTCATAATATGACCACACAAATACTGTTTGATTTTAAATACTTGACCACGGCTGTTAATGTTTTGAAAGTTTGTTTACAAATGTATTACATCTTAAAAAGGTGCAGATAAAATTATCTTAACTATGAAAAAACTTAAAACAAAACTTATCGTAAAAAAAAGCAAATAAATCTTTGTTAAAAAATTAACAAAAAATTAAAATAAAAATAACTTGACTAAAACTAAAATAAAAAAATTAAAACTTAAACTTAATAACTTAGTAATTTAACCCTAGGGAGTATTTTTTAGGAGTAAGTTTTCTCTTTAAAAAAATATTCAAAAAAAACTATAGTATTCCGAAGAACAACTGCATGCAGCACTTAGAGCTTTAAATAAAAGTGCAAAAATTTTCAAAATCAAAAAAAGTTTAATGTTCCTGAAAGTACTTTACGAAACAAATTATCTGGTAAAAGTCAACCCAAACGAAACAAATTATCTGTTAAAAGCCAACCCAAACAAACCCAAACAGCAAAACTTTTGCTTTAAATCATATCTTGGAGAAGAGAGAATGAATTGGTTGTTTGGTTAATGCAGTACGCTAACATAAATTTTGCAATAACAAAAAAATTAAAACAGTACAAAAAATAGTTGAATGGTGAGGTATAAAAACACCATTTAAAGATGAAAACCCAAATAAAAACTGGTTTTATAAACTTATGTGCCGTTATAAGGAATTATCGCAAAAACAAGCAGAGCATATTAGTAGAGTCAGAGGTCTAATAACTGAAGCATCAATAAGAAAATGGTTTAATGCAGTGTATGAATTATTAGGCGATGATGCACAATACCTTAATGATTCATCTCATGTTTTTAATTTAGACAAAACTGGTTTTGAGTTAGCACCAAAAACTGGAAAAGTAATTGGCATTAGAGGAAAAAATGTTTATGTAGAATGCAACAACAGCCATAAGGAAAACCTTACAACTCTATTTTGCGTAAATGCAAATGGTGAATTTACACCATCATTAAGATTGTACAAGTATGCTCGAATGCCAAAAACTAATGCTGCTGCTTACCACCAGGTTTGGGTCTTGGTAAAAGCAACAGCGGCTGGATGACTGGCAAATGCTTTTATGAGTAAATTGAGTTCTACAATTGATAATAATAAAACAAATCTTACAAGCCATAATAATGTGGGAAACATATTTGAAAACAAAGTTGCACTTGAGTATTGTTTTAGTTTGAAAAAACTGGAAATAAAGAATAGGGAGGAAAAACTGACTTCATAGAATTATTTGATATTTGGAAATAACCGAAATTTAACAATAGCTCCAAACAAACCAGTAATTTAATAGAAGCCAACAATAATTTATTTAAAAATTAAACCAATAAAGAATTTTATTTAGATATTAGCAGTACGCTAGATGAAAATGTATCATAAAATCTAGTAAAGTTAGCCAATTCTGAAAAAGCATAATAATTGATGAATCCGGTGAAATTAAATCAGCAACAGATCCACCACATTCAAATAAACAAATAATAAAAGATGTGAATCCATTACAAGACTTTTTTTAATGGCAAAAATAACCAATCATGAAAAAAAGTCTAAAACAAGTTGAATGATTATCGAGCATTGTAACTTCATTTAAATAGTTAGAGATTCAAATAAATAAAGAAAATGCAAAGGAAGAAGAAGATATCGAAAAAGTTGAACATAAAAATAAAGCTGCTGAAAAAAAAAAAAGAATTGAAAGACAAAGAAAAACAAGAAAAATCTAAAAGAAAACAAGCTGTTACAAAATAAAATAAAAATAAAATCAAAGAAAAAAAAAAAACATTTAAAAAAAGAATTTAAAAAGAAAAAAAAGTTTAAATTCAGAAAAAAGCTTTGATGGATAATTTTAGAACCAACGCCTTCTTTGTTTTGTAATCATATTAAATTTATGTATTTGTTTCTTGATTTAAATAAATAAAACCATAATTAAAATATAAGATTTTTTTAATACACGCTAGGTGGAGAATTGATTGCAGTAGGTAGTGCGTTTTTATGGTATGTAAAGAAACATACTAGATCTTACAAAAAATTAAAAATAACATTAAAAAAATAATTTTACTCAAATTTGAATAATATAAATAAGTTAATAATTGAGTATTAAATATTAATTCGAAAACCCTAAATAAAAATCTGTTACGGTTTTGGAGTTAAGAAGTTTTGAAATTAATAGTTTTCTTAAAGTCGCAATAGGGGAAGCCATGACCCTAAATTGTTTATTTAACCCTCTCTTCTTTTCGAATGAATTAACTTGATGAATTAATGATTCTTATATAAAGTTTATTAAAAATTGGTGTTTGAATAGTTTTTATAAGTTGTTGCCTATAAAATTTATTATTGTTTTTTTAAATAATTTTCACTTTTTTTATTTTACTTATAAAAAAATCTAATATAATTAAATGATATAAATAAAAATTTATTCAACTTTCAATGATACTTTAATTAAATTCATAAGCTAAAAGCGTTTTGCTAATATAAAATTGTTAGTAAAGATAATCGTGTCAAAGTTCTTTATTTTTTGCATTTGTTAAATACCATGGTTAAATTGTCAAAACAAAATATTACTTGCATGGTCATATAAAGACTTGAAATCGCACTCCTTCCTGGCTAAGCCTGATATCAGATATCACTCAAAGATCTTATTTTTCTTGATTCTTTGGGAAACATTACATTTTTTTAAGATGAATTGCAACTTACAAAACAACGTTTAATTTCAATTAATGAAGAAAGAAGCATTACAGTTTCTCAAAATGAAATGCTTTTTATTGAGAACAATGATTTAAAATTGAAGCTGCAACAATTTCACACTGTTGAAGAAGAAATTATGAAAAAGTATTCTTCAGGTTTGTATTTGTTTTATAAATTGATGATTGCAAACACTTAATTCATGTTTTCTAGATGTTCAAAACATAAAATATTACTTAAGCTTTAGATGAGTTGCAAATTTTAAAACAAGAGTTGAACTTTGTCAATCAGGAAAGAAACAGCGTTGTATCTTTAAATGAAATGCTTGTTAAAGAGAACAATGATATGAAATTGAGAATCAATCACTTAACTTCTATTGAAGAAGATATTATGCAAAAAAACTTATCAGGTTTATTGTTAATTTTTTTTTCTGTGGTTAGATTACTTAAGTTGATAGTCTATCAGGTGAAAAGATTTTTTCACAGAAAAGCTTTTGTCACACCTCCGCAATACTTAATTATTTCCTTTGTAAATAGTTGTTTGTTTTTTTCTTTATCAATGTTGCTATAAAAACTAAAGCAGGCATTATTTTATTTGGAAGTCAGCAACTTACCACTGCATCATAACTTCAAGTTTAATTGTTTGATATAAAAATTTCTTTTATGAAATTTTTTTAATTTAAACAAAATGTATTATTATAGTTCTAGAGGAATTGCAACTTCTAAAGCAAAAGTTTGACTTTGTTAATGATGAAAAAAACATATCATTGTCTAAAAATGAAATGCTCATCAAGGACATTGATGAATTGAAGTTAAAGTTTAATGAATCAAAATCTATGGAACAAGATTTAATGAAAAAGAATTTATCAGGTTTGTGTTTTTTTCAAATTTTAATTTTTTTCCCTGTTTTTTAGTAGTTATTTAAAGAAAAAATTTTTAGTTTCAGATGAGTTGCAATCATTAAAACTACAGTTCAATTCAGCTAATGAAGAAAGAAATATTGCAGTTTCAGTTAATGAAATCCTTACTAAAGAGAACAAAGAATTAAAACTTAAAGTTAACCAATTTAGTTTTATTGAAGAGGAAATAATGAAAAAGAATGCATTAGGTTTGTATTTAAGCTGTAAATTTAAAATGATTGATATTTATTGCTATGTTTTCACAACTTTTGAACAAACTTTCAATAGATTTTAAATATTGAAAAATCAGTAACTAAAAGCAAGTTTTATTCTTAGTTCTGAATATGCAAGAATTTTTTAGTTTTGGATGAATTGAATCTATTAAAGCAAAATTTAATGTCTGTTAATGAAGAAAGAAACAATACTGTTTCTGAAAATGAAATGCTTGTGAAAAAGAATAAAGAATTGAAAATGAAAATTGATCAGTTGAATTCTGTTGAAGAAAAAGTTTTTAAGGATAATTTATCAGGTTTTATTATTTATACATTAATTATTAATACTTATTAATATTATTTATAGATACTGGCTATTCAGACCTGTAGAATTGGGGTCATGGTAACTCTGTTCCACACCATTTTTTTTTACTTATTCTTTATGTGGTCTTGATTACTTCCATATTTTTCGGTTAATGGTAGAAAAATATTCATTTGAAAATCTAATAATAAATAATTCTTATAATAAGTACTGGGAGAGAGAAAGCGTATTTCCTTTTTGCTCTTTTCTTTGTTCTTAGAGCTTATTAGAAATCTCTTATTTATTTCAAAAAAAAGTTTTGAATGTAAAATCTTCCTACTTTAGGAAATAAGTTTGTTTTTTTATATTAGATGTGCAAATTTACCAGATTGAGTATGTAAACATGGTAATAACATAAGTACCTCTAATATGGATAACAGCTTTGTGAAATTTCTCTTGGTGGTTTTCAAAATTTATAGTTATAATAAAGTTTAGACCTTCCCACTAAGAACTCTTCCCCTTATGTTATCTTGGCACGTGAGAAAAGTTATTTAAACTAAAAGAGCAGCCGTGGCGCAGCGGTAGCGCACTTACCTCAGAAACGTAAGATCCGTGGTTCAAACCCCACCTCTGGGCAAGTTTTGCGACATCGGTTGGGAAGTAGGCGTGAACTTCCTATTAAATGCTCTTTTGCAGCGCTCTGTGATAAGACCATAGGGACTTCTTGGGGCACCTTAATTTAAAAAAATAAAAATAAGAAATAATAATAATAAAAAAAGTAATCAAGATTTTAAAGTGAGAGGTGGTTTTACTAAAATAATAAAATGCAAAATAGAAGTGTATGTATTTACTTATATAGGTTTATATACTTATTTGCAATTGGTAAAGTATCAGTGATTAGGGGAAAAAATAATATTTTTACAATAAAAAAAGCAGAAATAGTTAAGAAAATGGAACAAATTCTTTCCAACTAAATTTATTTACTAACAAAACAATACAAGTTCTTATCTATAAAGAAGAACAAAAAATGTTTTTTCTAAATTAAACATCAATTAGCAAAACAAATTTTTATTATTTGCAATTACTATATTTATACAAAATAACATGTATACTATACAAAATAACAAAACAATACAAAAAGAAAGTATGGACATTTACAAAAATTAACTTACTACATTTACAAATTGTATATTGGCAAACTACAAAAATACAAATTTATAGATGTAGCGTAATGTTTTCCTTACTTTTCACACCCTCTCCTCACTTTTCACACCCTCTCCTCACTTTTCACTCCCTCTCCTCACTTTTCACTCCTTCTCCTCACTTTTTACACCCTCTCCTCACTTTTCACACCCTCTCCTCACTTTTCACACCCTCTCCTCACTTTTCACTCCCTCTCCTCACTTTTCACTCCTTCTCCTCACTTTTCACTCCCTCTCCTCACTTTTCACTCCCTCTCCTCACTTTTCACTGCCTATCCTGACTTTTCACTCCCTCTTCTCACTTTTCACTCCCTCTCCTTATATTTTGCCTTCTAAGGGGTTCAAATAAAAGAAAGAGAAATTTCCTCCACAATTAGGCCTACACCTTATGTGCCTTATAGGATGTGGGCCCTCTATTCGTTCTGCATTATTCTGAAAAACCATTGCAAATTAAATGAAAAATGAAAAAATCGAACTATCATGATAAAAGACGACATGACATGTAAACACTACAATTCAATCTACCTATTTTTGTAATTGATGTTATTATTGTTAATCATCTAAAGTAACAAAACTTAAATAATTTAAAAATGGAATGCAACTTATATTTAAAGAACATCATCAATAATACTATTTGTATTTAGCAGCCCTTGGAATTAAGGTCGCCAACCTTATTTCCATGTTTTATGGTAACCACTTTGTGTCAAATTTTTTTTGCCAACCTCTAATAGTTTGAGGTTGTCAAATTTTTTTTTTCAACATCTTTGCTTCCAACAAAGCTGCAAGCAACCACTATTAGAGATAGAAGTTACTGGAAGAAAATAGATAAAGTTTATAGAGCAAGTAACAATTGACAGACGATTTAAAAGATTGCTATTTATATGAATCAGGAAAGCAAGATGAAGTATGCGAATTCTAAAGAACTGATGTTTGAGAAAAAAACTAGACAAATAAAAGTTTTTGGAGCACTTAGGAACAGTCACAAAAAAAAAGATGAGATTTAATTGAATGGTGAGTAACACAAGAATAAATTTTAGTAGATGGCACAAGAGACACTTTAAAGCAGTGCTCATTATAGTATTTGTAGAAAAGAGAAAGAGAAGCAACATTACGATGATGTGATAATGGTTGTAGGTTGGCTGCAAGGACAGGTCCAATTATGTTTACAATGCATTTTTGCACCTTGTCTAAAAGAGAAAGGACATCATTAGAAGATCCGGCCCTGTGCTAAAAATAATGAAAATCTGAAAGACATATATTGCAAAGAAAATAAACTATTATGCAAATTAGCAAAAACATAACAGTTAACAATGTAAACAAATTTTGTAATGTGACTAAAAGATAAAGTTATTCTTACCTTAATTAAGACTAATTAATTTTTTTTTTAACTATTAGCTAATGGTCAACATAATAAATTTCAAATAATTTAAAAAAAATAAAAATTTACTAAATTAAAATCATATTTTAGCAGTAGACAAAGTAAATTAATGATAGTTGGTAGAACACCAAAAAAGAAGTAAAGAAATAAAATAACAATCGTTGTAGTTAAAATGAAAAGATAACCTTAATAATATCAACCTTAGTTCTTAAGATAAATAAAGGTGAAACTATAGAAGAAAAAAATATAGATTTAATTAAAAGTTGCTTTTTAAATTTGTAAACGAAATGTAAGAAAACTTATTAAATATCCTTCTACATAAAAACATTTAAAAAATCTAATTTAATAAATTTTTTAAAGTTAAAACTTTAAGAATTAAGATAAGGATCTTAGCTGTATGAATTAGTTACTGTAATCCTCATTAGAATCATGGTTTAGCTCAACTAGAAATGAAAATAAAGACTAAAATAAAATTTAAAAAGTCACCAATATAAAATGGTAGCAGTTTGTTCAAGCAAAAAGAAGTTAAAGCAAATTTTTTCTTTATTCTTTTTTTTCAACAAAACAGACTTGTTTTTATCTTTGTTTTGAAAACATAACATTAAATTAACTTTTTATTAATAATTTCAAATAATATTTTATCAACAATTTTATATCATTAATTTTACTTCTTTAACACGTTCATGCCGGCGTGTACCACCGGTGGTACACACTAGACTGTCTCATTGGGCGGCGTGTACCACTGGTGGTACACACTAGACTGTCTCATTGGGCGGCGTGTACCACTGGTGGTACATACTAGACTGTCTCATTGGGCGGCGTGTACCACCGGTGGTACACGCCGCCCAATGAGACAGTCTAGTGTGTACCACCGGTGGTACACGCCAGCGTGAACGTGTTAAGTATGTCAAAATATATACTAAATTTGTTTTTATTCAAATTTTTTCAAGTAGTTGTTAGTGGTGTAGTGGTAGAGCGCTTGCCTTGTAAGCGAGAAGTTCTGAGTTTGATCCCCACCATGTCTCTGGTAGTACTACGCTTAACTTATTTCTCCGTGCAGCAGCCTTGTTCATCAAGGTTAATATTTTAGAGTTATAGAGTTGAGAGAGGGTTGTAATCACAACTATCAGCCTCCTAAACTGTAGTGGCCTTCATGACCTTGAGGAGATGAATTAAAATAAAAAGAAAAACCAGTAGCTTTACCATTTTTTGCTTTAATGGCCCTAAACCTATAAAAGGTGATAAAAAGAAAAATCAGCTTACTGATGACTTCATTTCAATTAACTATAATCTTAAAATTCAACTAAAATTGAGCAGCAAATCTTTTATAATAAATAGTAAATTAATTGATAATTTTCATATCATCAAATGGAATTAAAAACTTCTTTTAATTTGTAGTTTCATTAAAAATAATTCAAATAATTATAATACATTCAAAATATAAGATATATTGGCAGCTTAATGTCATTATATCTTAAGAGAAAACTTTATTTTAAAACACTGTAAAAGTAACTGTATACAAAAGTAACTGTATACAAAAATAACTGTATAACTTTATAACATTAAGATAAATTCTAACTGTTAAACTAAAAATAAAGATAAATTATAAATTAAAACCTCCGACTTGCGATGAGCTATAGCACTTATAAAAACACAAGTTAAAATATTGCTATTCAATTTTAAACATTAAAAAAAAAAAAGTTGATGAAATATAAACAAATAAAAAATCATATGTAAAGTTTATAAAAAGTTTTTAAATACTGTATTTTATAATTTGGTTCATATAAAACTTAATCGAACATCTAACATAAAGTTATATAAAACCAACAAAAAATAAAAATACCACTTATAATTTAAATAAGGTCATCACTAGCTTCTTTTTATTTAAACAGGTTGTTAAGATTAAGAAAATACCGTTTCAATACTTCAACTACAAAATACAACATGTTTCATTTACATGTTGAAAGTATAAACTAATTCTAAAAACAGATTAAAAAAATTACAGAAGATACATACTATTTACAAATAAACATAAATTATAATAAATTATGATTATATTGTTTGTGATAATGATAATAGACAGATTTAGAGACACATTACAGATTTGATAAAGGTCTAATACAAAATACAGATTTGATAAAAGTCTAATTCAAAGTACAGATTTGATAAAGGTCTAATATAAAATACAGATTTGTTAATCTAGCAGCGTGCACATAGACAATGCCTAATGCAATTTTAGAATTAAGCATCTCTGTTGGCTTATATAGAATAAAGCGGACTATAATAGTATGATGGTTTTTTGAATTCTGATGAAATATTTGATGTTTTCTTTAATTCTGTCATTGTTGCGCGTTCGGTTCAGAATGTTTTATATGAGAAAGTGATAAAATAGCTGTAAACTCCTAACTTATTAACTTATTTCCTTTATTATATAATTTTAAAACTTCCTTTTGTTTAATGCTAATAAAATATTATCTTTTAAATATAAAGTTAGGATTTTTTTAAATGCAAAACAAAACAATTTTATAATTCTATAGATATTATATGCACGTATTGTATACCCCTTTTCTTTATTCAAACTCAATTTAGATGTAAAATACTTAAAAACAAAAATACTCGAAAACTAAAATTTGAAACCTTTAAATAAACTTTAACATTTACATGTTTTTAAATTTACATTAGTTAGATACATAGCCACATTTTCTTTAAAAAACAACGTATCTCACCATTGGCTCAGCTTAAATGGCTGCCGCAAGTTTAGCATCAAACATGCACAAATGGATAACAGCAGCATTAAGTTCAATATTAATATATTAGTATTAATAAATACTATATATATTACTATATAATATATATATATAGTATTTATTAATTATTGACATTTATTAATTATTGATGTTTATTAATTGATTTTTTCATTTAAAGAGCAATAAATTATATTTTTTAGATGAGATGCAACGCCTTAAACAACATTTAAATTCAATTTATGAAGAAAAAAATAATGCAGAAAATTTAAACGAATTGCTTAGACAGGAGAATGATGAATTAAAGTTGAAAGTTAAACAGTACAGTTGTTCCATTAATGAATTTGAAATGAAAATATTTGGTATAGTATTTGTATAAAATTGTTAATTTCCTTTAGTGTGTGTGTGTGTGTGTGTGTGTGTGTGTGTGTGTGTGTGTGTGTGTGTGTGTGTCTGTATATATATATATATATATATATATATATATATATATATATATATATATATATATATATATATATATATATATATATATATATATATATATATATATATATGTATATATGTATATATGTATATGTGTATGTATATGTATATGTATATATATATATATATATATATATATATATATATATATATATATATATATATATATATATATATATATATATATATATATATATATACACTTATCATAAAAACATTCTTATCTTTGATTATCTGTCTGTCTGTGGACATTTTCGTTTTCCACAGTAAACTATAGCATATAGAGAAAAAGTAAAAAAGGAAATTTGTTTTTAGTTGATTGGAAAAGAATTGTGGCAAAAAAAAAAATAATTTAAAAGTTAATTTAATAAGGACTTATGATCGTTTTGGTAAAAATTTCACTATTTTTCATTCGATTTTATTCACGTTTCTAAGTTATGCAAATTTCCGTTACACAAGCAATATTCAAATTTAAACAAGTTTTGTTCAAGTTTAAATTTTGTGAATAAAGCGCAATGCAAGAGTGCAGTTTGATTTGTTAGGTATTTGGTTTGTTAAGTATTTGTTTATTAATAATATTTATTAATTTTAACTATATTTAATAATATTATTAATATTTAATAATAAACAAATTATTATTAATATTTATTGATTTGTTAAATATTTGTTATGGTTAAACATAAACCTCAGTTAGGAAAGAAATCCAAGAATTCAAAATGTAAGAGTAACAGAAAGTTATATCATGAAAATCAGCGTGTGAGTTGGTGGGGTCTTCGCACTGTCAATTCTGTATTACAAGGTTCTATTTTTACCCAAAACTAGCTAAACCAAGTTGCAGATGAACATTTTAATCAAGAAAAGATACTTTGCTATATACGAAATATTAAAGTGAAATCCATATCATGATGAATCTGGAAACTATTCAGTTGATGTGATCAAAGAAGCCTTAATCTTCGAGAACATTTAAATGGACAGAATTGATGTTTCCAAATCATCAATTACTGAAAATGGTTATATCATCTAATGTCACTATATCACTATATCACTCTTAAGAAAATGTCAAAAGTGTGAGTCAAAATCGACCAATGGTTCGATTTTGACTCCAAACTTCATCAACCAAAACCTATACATAATTTTTCTCTTCAAAAATATGTAAGTAAGAATTTATCTGGCCCAGCTAATATATTTGTTCTGCAAGGTGATCTCAAAGCTCTTACGATTGAATCCCATGAAAAAGCTAAAAAGGCTAAATGACGTGGGGAGCAAAAACATTAATCAATGCGTCTCAGCCATTTTCAACTTGATGCTGTTGTTGCAATCCGAGTCAAAGACACAGATTGTCACATAAAAGCCTGCGAAGAAGACAAAATGGAGACAGATGAAAGGCAAGTCAAAGACGCAGATTGTCACGCAAGATCCCGCGAAGAAAACAAAATTGAGGCAGATGTAAAGCGAGTCAAAGATACAAATCGTCACGCAAAAGCCTGCAAAAAAGATGAAATGGAAGCAGATGAAAGGCAAGTTAAAGCAGATCGTCACGAAACAGCCCATGAAGACAAAATAGAGGCAGATGAGAGGTGAGTTATAGATGCTGATTGTCAAGCAAAAGCCCGAGAAGTGGAAGAGGAAAAAGAGGCAAATATAAGGCTAGCCAAAGTTTCAGAACAAAAATTGCCAACTCATAGGAAAAGAACCTATTTGATTGCAACAAAGCCAATAGTTTATGAAAATAAGGTTAAACAATCTGATATAGGCCCAATGAATCAGGTTTGTTTGCATTGCAAAGCATGGTACTTTAAAGCTTGAAAGGAGACAAAATAAGCAGTTCAATATCTGCTGCGCAAAAAGAAAATAATGTTGAACCTGAATCTTGATCCTAAACCTTTCCCAGAATTGTTATTAGCACTCATCACCAAAAATCACCCTAAATCAAACGAGTTCCTTCATTTAAGATTATATGTCCTAGAAAGAAAAAATAATAACTAATTCTTCCCGTAGTTGTGCGGGCTATCCTACTAGTATATATATATATATATATATATATATATATATATATATATATATATGTTTATATTTATATATGTATATATATATATATATATATATATATATATATATATATATACACACACACACACACATACACACACACATTTTCTATTACTCTAAGATGTATGTATTACATTTTCCATTGTTCTATGGAGTTCACCTTTCATTTTTTTTTTGTTTGTCTACTAAATAAAATTAATGTTTGTTTTTACTACATATTTAATAGTTTTTGTATTTGACAGTTTTATACTTGAAAATGATTATTGTATAATCAAAATGTGTTGTTGAAACTGAAAAAAATTGTTTTATTTATTAGATGGTTAGCAACTGTTTCAAAAGTAAATATTAAATTATGTTAAATATATTTGTTTGTTGAAAAGTTTTCAGTTCTAATGTTTAGATGATTTGCATAATTATGGTTTAAAATAAAAATTGTTTAATTATCTTTCTAATCTTTTTTTAGACTTTTCATTTTATATATTTCTAAAAATGATTTATGAGTAAATACAGAATCAAAATTTTTAATTTTAATATTTTTAGACCACAGCTTAACAAAATTGATGTGAGTTAAAATTAAAAAAAAGTTGCATTATTTGTGATAAGACAAATTGCTGATAAATAGAAATATTCGGTTTGATAAATAAATAGAAGTTTAGCATAGCTACCATTTTAACTGCATTTATTGCAAAAGTTCTGTAAACTTTTATCTGTTCCATTTTGTTGTCATTATCTGTTTCATGCTCTTATTTTGTTAATGCTTAATTTCCAGTTTTTTATGCTTAGTTAATTTTCTGCTCTGTTTTATTTTAGTCTTCCACATCTTTTTTTTTTCCTTTCAATTAGATATTGTCTTGCTCATTTCCACCCCGTTTCTTACTTTTGTTCTAAGCTTTCATTTTCATTTTGTTTTACTTTTTCCCATCTTTGTGTCCTTTACTTTTAACAGTTAACTCCCTCTAAATCAAGTAATTTCACTTCATCTCATAATTGCTTGGGTCTTGTTGCTGGAATTGCAGTACACTCAATGTTGCTGGAATTGCAGTACACTCAATGTTGCTTGAATTGCAGTACACACAATGAGTTTGCAAGTTGAGTTTATCTTATCACAAGACTTGTATCTAGTTAATTACAGTGAACAAATATTATACTGCAAATAAATATTAAATTTACCAGTTTTGAAAAGTATTGTTTTTTGAAAAGTATTGTTTTTGACCCTTTACATTGGATATTTTCTTGTTGTAAATGTTAAACTGAATGGTAATGTTCTTGTTGCAAATTTTAAACTGTACGGTAACATTCTGTTACAAATGTAAAACAGGGCAGTAGCATTCTTGTTACAAATTTTAAACTGTATAATAACATTTTGTTACAAATGTTAAACTGAGCGGTAACATTCTTGAGTCAAAAAATAATGTTAATCTTAAAATGTAACCACTTGGTGGAGACTGTCTTTGAGGTAAATCCATTAGTGGGTATTTATTGCAATCAAAGATTCTCATGCCATACCTGTTTGAAAATTTCTTCATTCCTAGTATTCCTTTATATAAATAATCAGGTCGCCACCACCCTTATCGTTTTTTTTTTGCGCTAATGAGATTAATTTATATCCTGGTAAGTTGGGTATTTATATATAAACCTTAAATAATGAGAATAAACTTTTAAACATTTTATTCAAATAAAACTTCTTAACAATTTTTGTTTATTTTACTTTTTACGGTCTTCTTATGGTATTTAATGTTCTAAAGTAATTGGTGTTTAATTAAAAACAGTTTTAAAACAAATCACTAAATGTTTTTCACAAATCTAATAAAGTATTCACTTTTTTGTTTAAATTGCATTGTAAATATTTAATAGTATTCATGGATTATCTTTTTCCAGATAAATCTGGAATTCTGTATATTTCTTTAAACTTATAGTTTTTTGGATTTCCAAAATGATTTTCATAAATACAAATTGAAATATATATTTTTGCAATATTTTTTGTAATACACCTCCCCAAGGCCGAGAAGGCCACTATAGATGAGGAGGCTACTTGTGGTTATAACCTTCTCTCAATTCTGTAACTCCGAAATGTGAACCTTGACAAACAAGGCTGCTGCACGAAGAAACAAGTTGAGCGCGATACTTCCAGGGATGTTTAAATATATATATTTTAAACTTTTTTTGTCAGTACTTATACAAAAAGTAAGAAAAAATTTTTAAAAAATTGAGAAAGATTAGATTAAATTTAAAATAAGACAAATAAAAGAAAAATAGATTCCAGATTTTTAAAATATAACTTGGATTATATCTGTACAATTATTTATAATAAAATATTTTACATATTTAACAGTATAACAATTTATAGTATAATTATTAAACAGTATAACAATTTATAATAAATGTTATATATCTAACAGTAAAAAGATTTATATTAGGTAATTCATATGAATATAATTTTATGAATATAAAAACAAATGTTACTCAGACTTAAAAATACAAATACAAAACGATTAAAAGATTTTTTAAATTAGTAAACTTTGTTTTAAGTGCTGCTGTAAGTGATAGTAATGTGTGTTGTGTGTTGCTGTAATTCATTTGATGTTCATACTTTTAATTTAGATCTCACTCAAAGTTGCGATAAAAATATATTCGAACAACAAAAGAAAATAAATGAACTTATTGACATCAACAAAGAACTTAGTATAAAAAGTAATCAGCTTTCTGATGAGAAGAATCAGATATCTGAAGAACTTGATTTAATGACAAATAAGTTTTCTGATATAGAGCATAATTTCTTGGTAACTCAAACGAAAAACCATGACCTTATGGAAGCATTAAAAAAGGAGCAAGAAAATTGTGCTAAACAGTGCAAGTTATCAAAAAGTGCTTATGAACGGAAATGTGATCAAATTGAAGCAGAGACACAGGTTTTGATGAATACTTTAAAAGCGTTAAAAGCTGAAAATATTCAAATAATGGAGATAAATAAAGTATTGAAATCTGAAATTTTAGTTGCAAAAGAAAATTTAGAATGTCAACAAAATGAACAAATAACAATTATAGATAAACATGAAAAACATATAAAAGAACTACAAAATGATATTGCTTTACTGAACAAAAAGTTGGAAACTCACGATGAAGTCATATCAAAAAACAATGATCTCGTACAAAAAGTCACAAGTTTAGAAGAAACTAAAATTGAACTTGAACAATCTCTTAACAAAGTTAATAAGGCACTAAAGGAAAGCCAGTTAAATAGTACTGAACAATCTTCCCAATTAACTTCAGTTGTACATAAAGAAAACCAACCGTTCAATAATTCAGTTAATTCATTAAAGTATGAAAATTTGTCTAAAGAAGAATTAATAGGTAATTTTTTTTTTATGTGGTGATTTGTGTTCTGTTTTTTACCTAGAAAGGCACAGTGCAAAACTTTATTAAATTCAGGATATTTATTTTGCTTTCCAGTCTAAATAGTGGAACAATGATCACCTTGTTTTCTACTTTAAATTGGTTGTTTTTTTATTACCGGACATATTTTAAAACCCTATACTGGCTCAGAACAGACAGTGATATGCACAATCTGATTGGTTGATTTTGAAAGAGAGTGTACAATTTTGTTACAATCAAAACAAATGTCAAAAAGTGTTTAAATAAAATAATTGGATAAAAAATCAAATAATAATGACAAAAAAATTATGATTTTTCTATCAAATTTAGTACATTATATTACTAATACTTTTTCAAAATTTCACAAATCAAATCATCTGTATTTTTAAAAATATTTTCTTGAAATTTTTTTTTTCTAACAGTTTTGATGAGTCATTCAGCTAGAAAAATATATAAATAAAATTACCTTTTAGCTTTTCAGAACTTTACCCTAATTTCTCCCATATATAAATTATATAAATAAATTTTTAATTTTGAGAATATTGCTTATTGGTTGTTATAGCTAGCCTAGGTAATTTGCAACATTCTCAAATTGAAAGCAATTGTAAGCAAGAGCTGATTTAGATTGGCCTTGGTATTGTATTGTAGAATTACATTGTATTGTAGAATTACATAATATTGTAGCATAATAAACAAAGAAAAATTATATGACATGATATCCACAATTTTGTTTTGATATAACAATATGATTACTAAAACTAAGAATAAAATTGTAGAAACAAGAAAAATCGCAAATATACAAACCATGCTGTTGTTTATTTCAAATTTAAAAGTACTCTTTTAGATGTACTTCTAATCTTGGCCTTCACTTTCAGCCTTCTCAAAATTTTGGTTAAAAAGCAAATTCTTTAGAGTTGGTAGATTCACATGGAATATGTAAGCTAGTTCTTTAAAACATCAGTAAAAAAATTTTTCAAAAACTTAAATGCTTAACTCTTTATAAATAAAAAGTTTTTATAATTAACATCTAAAAAAACGTTGTAGCATTATAAACTATCAGAAAAAAATTGATATCCTAATTGCCGAATATTTGTTTCGATATAGTAAATTAATTACTTCATGGAATAACTCTTAACTTACCACACTTTAGTTAAGAACTAAGGGTAAAGAGGTAGAAAAAAGAAAAGTTGCACACATGCAAAATCACGTTGAATGTACTATTTAAAGAATTTATATACTCAAAACATATGTTTGTTAAATTGAATAAAATACTGGTTATTATATTCTATAATGTTGAAAAAATAATTAAAAATTAACTTCTCACAGCAATTGATTTTAAGTAATATTAAATAAAAGAACAAACTTTAAAAAATCTATACTTATTATGTTATCATATAAAATTATCTTACTTTAAATACTTTTGAAGAGAAAAAATAAAAATTTGTAGCTTTGGAAAAAAAAAACAAAAAAAAAATTTAATAGGAAATGATTTTTTTTGTATAAAATCAATTTTTTCTGTTATGGATACCTCAGATAATTATACAACAAAAAAAAATTATTATTTTAATAATATAAATTTTTACTAATCATGAAGGCTACTATTTAACTAAAGCGGTTTTAGTTTAAATAAGAACACATAGCATTACAGCTGATTCAGTTCTGTTTTCTAATAATTTTATTGTTTTTTCTTTGTTACTCTTTTTCCATAAATTTGTCTTACTTTTATCACTTAGTTTGGTTTTTTTAAGTTAATTTTTTTTTTTTTCAGTTATTACAATACAATAAAAGTGCCACAATCATTTGCGCTTTTTTGATACCATAAGCCATCAATACTTTTATACTTCTTTTTGATTGTAATGTCAGTGTTTATATGTAACTGTACAAAAAATTACTGTTTAGTTAAAAAACATAAATTTCACTTCCTTTGTTAAATTTTCAAATAGAGTATTAATATCCAATAGTCATCTTTTATATGTAGCCTGCCAAACTTTTTAAATCTTCACAAAGTGTTTAATAGTTTAAGGATGATGTTTTATTAGACTTATGTAATAAAAAGATATCAATTTCATCAAAATAAAGGTTGAAACAAAATACCAAACCAAAATCTCCTCAGAGCTCATATATTCACATAAAACATGTAAGCTAGTTTTGCAATCAGTACAAATTTTCTTTTTGAAAAAACTCTAATGTTCAACTCTTTATAATCAACAAGTATACATAAAGTTCTTCACTATTAGTCTGGTAAAACTGCATATCTTCACCAGTAGTCTAGTAAAATTGCATATAAACTTAGTTTGCATAAAGTACTTTACCAGTAATTTGTTACAACTGCATATAAACTTTGTATCTGAGTATGCTTCAAGACCAAGGTCATTGTATTTTTAAGACCAAGGTCATTATATTTTATGAGAAACACATTTATAGATCATTTCGAATTTACTTTATCAGATACATTTTTTTCCCATTACTTTAAATTAAAAACAAATAAAATCTCCATCACCAGATAAACTTTATTAAAATTTTGAGATTTTGCGAGTGAAAATTTTCTTGTTCAAACAAATTTTTTTTTTTATGCTCTGAAGAGTACTAAGATAAAAAAAATTTCCTGTGTTGATAGTAACACAAGACTACAACTATTGATAAACTTAGTTAATCGTTACTTTGAAATTTATTTCCTAAATCTGCTTGTTTTGATTTTGACTATTTTTTTTAACAAAAGCGCACTTGCCTCTCTTTTAAAATTAGCAAATCAGATTGTTCATATTTCTGCCTATTCTGAGCCTGTATGGGGTTTCAAAATATGTTTATTGGACCCCTTGTACTTTTTGTTGTGAGCAAGTCTGGTTTAACCAGAAAAATCGTATAATCATTTCTTTATTGCAATATAATTATTATATCAGTTATTTTATTATTATTGCTACTGTTATAAATATTATTATTGCTACTGCTATAAATATTATTGTAATTGTAATATGAAATAGGTAAAAAGAAAGTTTTTGATTTGCGGTTGTATTTCAATAAAAACTTTTTCTGAAAACAAAAAACTGATCTTAATAATAATAAAACACATAAAAAAACAAAATTTGGAACTGTAGTTTCAACTGTATAAGGAGCCTGTATTCATATAAATAGTAAAAAATGAACGCAGAAGACATTGAAACTGACTTAAAATCCTTATAAATTTGTTACTCTTTGCTTCTCTCTTTTTTTTTAATTTAATTGTAAATAAATATTTTTATTATTAAATATATAATTTTATTTTTATAACAGACAAAATAAATCATGTTGAACATCTTCTTGAATTAAAAAAAAAAGATATTTCTGTTTATAACGATCACCGTATTGAACAAAATGCAACGATAGAACAACTCAAGAAAAAAAATGAAGACTTATTGTGTAAGATGTTTTTTTTTTTAAAATTAGTTTATGAATTGCAATGTTTCACAGGAAGATGTGCGATTGCACGAAATTATATGACCACACAAAAAATACTTTGTTTTTGTGATTTGACCACAGCTTTTGACATGTTTTCAATATGCGCTAAAAAAACTTTACTTTAAAAAAGAAAAAAAAAAATCTTAACGAAAGAAAGAGAAAATAAACGAAACATTTAACTAAAGCAAAAACACAAAAAATATATAGATATATATAAAACCTAACTAAAACAAAACTCAACCAACTAAAATCCTTTGATTATTTAAATCATGTTTTTAATTACATTCGGAATAATTTTTTATCTTTATTAATGTTTACAACATTGTTTATTAATGTTTAGAACATTAATAAACAAATAACAATTTACTTTTAATGATTGTTTAAAATATACGCACACTTGATTTAATTTATAGTGTTGTTTTTTTACTAATTTAAAATATCAGTTTCCTTGAAAGCAAATAATTACGCATTAAAAAACCATTTCGTTCTTTGTTTTAACATTTGTACTTTTTTTTTTTTAATTTTTTTTTTTGTTTAATTTTTTTTTTGTTTCAAAAGATTACCATTTATCATAACAAGTACATACAATACTTAATATAAAAATTCATTAGAAGTGTTTTATTATTTCATTAAAAAGCGTTTCAATAATATAAAAGCATTAAAGATCAAACTTATTTAATTGTAACAGCTTTCAAAAAAATTGTCTCAAAAAATGTTTTAACTTTAATAATTCTGATATTAAAACTTGTTATAATTCAGAATATTTTTTGTTTAACGTGTTTTTAAAATATTTTTTAAAACAGTCACAGTCAAATTTTCAAAGCAAAATGTAATTTGCCTGGTCATATAATGATGTGCAATCGTATGTCTTCCTGATAAACACAGAATTAAAATAATATACACTGTTTTACAATAACTTACAGTTATAAGTTTGAAATTTAAAAAATATGAAAATTATTTTGATAAATAAATGTAGTTATTTTCAGATTTAACCAATAATTTTAACAAGAGGTTTTTATTTTTATGTTCGAAATTATTATATTTTTGATATTTATACATTTTTAAAATATCTTTTTTGACAATTGATATTTTTAGCTCGTTTAAAAAGACTTGAACAAATTTTAACTGATTTACGAAAACCTAGTGGTAATGCTTCCACAAGAGAATGGGAAGAACATTGTATATCATTAGAACGAATCAAAGTTAGACTCGAAAGTCAGGTTTTACATTTGGAAGAGAGAAAAAGAGTTTTAAAACTCCAACTTGAACGATATCAACAAGAAAATACACATTTAAATGGTAAAACATATAATGTTAAATATACTTTTATGCCAAGCATAATGTCTAACTTAGCTTACTTATAATGTACTTACAGTGTAATGTATGACTTTTTGATGTACAAAAATAATATTAGCTATATTTAAAAAAAAAATTGTATAATGATTGTTAAAATGTGCAGAAGTAATTTTCTGCTTTAGATTTCTTAACTTGTTTAATATTTAATGATGTTTAGATATAACAAGTATTTTTTCATTTGGTGGCTATTGTCTTATTATTCATTTATTATGCAGGCTTGATCGGAAAGTGGGTGCTATTGCACTCTATATCTGACCATGCATGTAATATTTAGTTGCGACAACATGGCCACGGTTTTTAAGATGCTTTGAGAAAATTTAAAAAAGCTCAAAAAAAAAACAAATCTAACTTGACGGGAGAAAACTTCCTAATTTTAAAATTAACTAAAAAAAGAAATTCTTAAAGAATAAAATAGACAAACAAACTAAAACAAAATAAATTAGGTCTAGAATAAATTATTTCTAAACTTATTTCTTTAATAACTTTTTTTATAAAATTAAGTGTCTTTATAATGTTTAAAAAAAATACCGCAATGCAGCAGACCCCTGAAGCAGCAGTCTGTAATGACCAGTTTCCAAACTGCACTCTATGTATACATTTAATAACTTTATATTTTACAAAAGTCTATTGGTTTATTTAACTGTAATATGTATTATAAATTAATATACAAAAAGCATAACTTTTGCAAACTAGAAGCATGCTTTTATTGCATCAAATTATCATTAAGCAAACTTAAATGGTTACACTAAAAAGGTAAAGTATATTTATGAAAAGGAATCGGAAATATATATAAAAAACCTACTCACAACACCACTGGTGTATTTAGTGAGTAGGCTTTTTATATATATTAGTATATTTTTGTTCTGTATGGACTTCTAGCGCGTGATCATGAATAGAGTGCAATCTCATCTGCTTCCTGATTAAGCCTGATTATGTCACTGTTGTTAATCATGTGTGATTTTTTTCATTATACCTGGATGTAGGTGTTTAGGTCTCTCCTCTTCAAAAACTTTAACAGTCCTTAAAAAACCAAAACCTGTAAATAAACATAATAGTTTAAAAAAATCTATATTTTTGTAATTTCTCTTTATTTATTTTTACCTTAAGAAAATTTGAAATGAAATTCAAATTGAAAACAAATTGAAACTCTATGAAATTTTGTTGTGAATATATTAGACTAATATAAAAATTAGTCTTCAGGGTTCATGGCACTCAAGGAAAAGCTGAATAATCAGGGAAAAGTTTTAAAATTATAGTAAATTAGGTAACACCTGGAAAAGTCAAGGAATCTTTAAAATCAGGGAAAACTTAGGGAATATTATTTTATATAATATATAGCAACTATATTTTACAAATCTTATAATATATTTCTGTTATTAGCAAGGTCTTTGAGTCTTTGATCACTCTTCTTCATTTCCATTAACTTCTGGGGTACCCCAAGTTTCTATTCTTGGTCCTATTTTGTTTCTTATCTACATTAATGATCTTCATGACAATCTTACATATATTGTGGCTCTATTTGCTGACGACTCAACTTTATATTCCTATCTTGACAAAAAGTCTTCTCTTTTCGATGGTTTAGAACAGACAGCTTTTAACTCCAGCAAAACTTAGTTATTTACTGCAAACAACTATTGGAATGCTGTTGAATTTCCTATATTGATAAATGGCAACCCTCTCACTGAGTCCACTTCTTTATGTCTTCTTGGGTTTACATTTACAACTGGTTTCTTATAGAAATCATATATATACAATCGATTGCTAAGTTAGTTGAATCTATTTACATTGCTTAAGCCTCTCTCCCATTGTTACAAAGTTGCACCTCTTTCTCTTTTCCAAAATTACTATCATTATTGCTTCTCAAAATAAAATAGCTATTATCTTTTGTACGATCAACTAGTGATGTACCGATGACAAAGGACAATTGTGGCTAATATTAGGTTTTAATGTATTTATATAAGGGTAATATAATAATATTAATGATGTAAAATACATATACAATATGTACCTATACATCAGCAGTGACTCGACCTAATGGCTATGCCATTGGTAACTAGCAACCAATTAATCTGCTTAATCATCGGCCAATTATTCAGCCAATATCATTGGTTGATTAATTAGCTAATAAGCCAAACCAAACAGGTGTATAGGCACAACTTACATATGCAAATTGCATACCTAATATTATTATTTTACCTTGATATACATAGATTAAACCTTATCATTAGCCTAAATCCGCCTTTGCCACTGGTACATTGCTACCATCAACCAAAACTCATTCTCGCTTGACTCAATCAGCAAAGTCTCATTGTTTTACTGTATCTGTCTCTGCATGCTTTAAATACTTTTATTTTATTCCCCCGTACTTCATTCTTTTGGAACTCTCTCCTATCTCCATGTTTTCCTGGTTCATACTTACAACTTTTTATGTGTTCTGTCAACCGTTCTCTTACTCTTTTCTTTGTTTTTTAGTAACTTCCAACTTAATGATGGTTGCTTGCAGTCTTATTTTAGTGAACAAAGTTAAGAATGAATCAGAGTTAAAAAAGTATACAGTATCAGACAAAACAAGTGCAACCAAATAATGCTAATTTAGTTTCTTTATATAAAAGTGCTACATTTTTTCAATTTAGAGAAATAACTATGTAACTGTTTAGAGACAACGTTTTTCAAGTTTTATTCATTGCAAAATTCATCATTTGTACACGAAAATTAATAAATTATTCAAAAGTATTAAAAAAAGTTGATTTCCTTCTGGACAAAACAAGTGCAACTCCACAAAATGTTGACCAAGCTGTATTTCGCTATAAATATTTTGTGGCAAATCCTTTGTTGTCAATCACAGCCTTGCATCTTTGAGGCATAGATTCGATCAGGCAATCAATGAAACTTTGTGGAGTCGCTGCCCAGGCCTTTTGGATTTGTTCAAACAGTTGACCCTTATTACAAACACTTTCACAATTAATTCTGTGGTTGACCATCTCCCACAGGTTCTCGATAGAGTTGAGATCGGAGATTGAGGCCAATCCATCATCGATAGGTGGTTATCTTGAAACCACTGCTTGACTACTTTTGCAGTGTGTTTCGGATCGTTGTCTTGCTGAAAAACCCATTTTATTGGAATATTCTATTCAGCATGAGGTAACATAACATCTTTCAGGATATTTTTATACATGAAACGGTCCATTATTCCATCGATTCGATGTATTGGACCTAGACCGTTAGCAGAAAAAGCTGTTGCGCCGTTAGCTGGTTCTTTAGTGAAATCAGCGGTTTCTTTGGAGGGCGTCGAGAAACAAATTCGGCTTCAACAGCACATTGTCTGATTGTTCGGTTTGATACAGGCAGCTCTAATTGCTTTTGTATCTCAACTGATGATATCCAGGGATCTTTCTTGACGGATCTGACAATCATAGAATCCTCTCTAGAATTGGTGGAATGTGGTCTCCCACCTTTGTTATCTGCTGCCAACTTCCCAGTTGAACGATATTTGGAACATAGTCTTGATACGGTCCATTTTTTTACGCGATATTTATCACAAATACTTTTTTATGAAATTCCACTTACGTAATTGCCAATAATTTTCTTTCTTAGTTCCAATCCAAGACTGTCGGGAGCCATTTTTGCACTTGAAGTCATAAAAATAATAAATAATCACGCTTCTCAAGACTTACCGTGTTACATTTACCTTGTGATGATACAATAATGCTTTGTGGAACACAACGTCTTGGTTGGATGTGGACTGTATTGATGTAATGAAACACTTGTTTCATTATTTTAACACAGTCAATTATTTCACTTTTTGTATTGATGTTCTTCGATAAAACACTTTGATAAAACTCACTTCGATAAACTGTCTTGATAATACTGACTGTTTGACTTCCATATACTTACTGAATTACATGTCGGTTTACATGTCTCTTATATAGTAAAATGAACCTGTGTGAACCTGTTCTGGAAGATTCTAGATGCTTCTTTTCGATGCTTCTGGAAGCTTCTGGATGCTTCTGAATGTTTCTGGATACTTCTGGATGCTTCCAAATGCTATTTCTGGAAACTTCTGGAAGCTTCTGCATGCTTCTGGAAACTCTGGAAGCTTCTGCATGCTTCTGGAAACTTCTGGATACTTCTTTTAATTATTAAAAAACTTCTGTGACGTTGACATGGACTAGACTTAAGAAAATGAAACAAACCAAAAAAGTTGCACTTGTTTTGTCCGCTGCAAAATAGCACTTGTCAACGAAATTCTGCTGTCACCTGTTAGCTGATTGCTCATGTCATGGCATGCTATGACTCCAGACTCCTGAACTGTTTGCTGTGGTAGTATAGTTGTTTCCTTTTTAAAATATGTAAAATTAGGAACACTTTTTAGCATTGTTCGATTTTGGTTGCAAATGTTTTGTCCAATACTGTATATATACTGTAGATAAATGTTTAATGAAATATAATAATATAAGACATGACTTTAGAAAAGACCAATTTTCAAGAAGATTAGTTGCAACACCATATTTATTAAGACTGGTTAGAAAGTATTGGAACAAAATTTAAATAAAAAATCAATAACTGCAAGACATTTAGTCAAAGATCATATGCTGTCAAATTTGTTGAGGAAGCCGAGGAGAAGTAAGATGTAAGGTTAATTTTAAAAATTCTATGAAATGAAAATCAAAATCAAGAAATTAAAAATTTAGAGATAGCACTTAGTAGCTTTATCGAATAGTTCTCATATAAAGTTTTTCATTTTGTTAACAAAACATTTTACTTTGTTCAAAACAGATGCAAACTGTTATTTTTTAAGTATATTTCTTATATTTACTGGATTTTTTGAGGAAAAAGTATATATTTTTCACCACCCAAACTCTTTTAACAAAAAAAAAAATTCTTAAAAAAATAAAGGAAAATCAGGAAATACTCAGGGAAAATGGATTTCTAAAACTGGCATGAACCCTGTTCTTTGATTATTTTAAATTTGTTCTATTTATAAAGTATATTTTTAACGTTAAGTAATGAAAGAAAGAATTATAATTAGTATTTTTGAAGTTGTTATTTTTATTAATGACTTCTTCATTTTTATTTACATTTTGTTGTTTTAAACCAAATCGCTGTATTAAGAAAAGTTTCCTTAAAAACACAATATTTCAAGATGGACATATGATTTATTTCTTTTTTTAAATCTTTTTAAAAAGAGAGGGCTACTAAAACTTATGTAACTTTTACAGTGCGTAGGGTAACAAAAATTGTTATATTTAGTGGGTCAATAATTAAAAGTTCTTTTGAAAAAAAAAAAAGAATGGAAATTTTCTGTTTACTTCAAGATTTAACAAAAACAAACTGCTTGTGCTCAGTGATTTAACAAAAACAAACTGCAATACTTATCTGACTAAAGAGGTAGTTTAGGATCAACTTATTCAAAAGCCAATAATCAAATTAGCCTAAATAGCACCTAATTAGGACCTAAAATTAAAGTTAAGTGTAATGAAAATATATATGGAATAATGAACTTTTATTTTAATAATGTTAATGCAAACATATATAAACAGTTTGAATAATAAATTTTATTTATAAATCATTTTATTTTATTTGAATATAAAAACTCTGACCACAAGCAAGATAAAGGTTTTTTTCTATAAAACAAATTTTCCTCATACTCAAAACACACAAGACAGTTTTGCACTTTAGCAGATTTTCTAATAGCTTTGCTGTGCAATTCAAAGCGATCGCAATTCCTTTTTAAATTATTATTTGCAGCTCCTTATTTACCCAGTTATGCAAACACTCTCCATTTAACAACTCTATAGTATTATTGTAACTCTATAGTATTATTGTATAGTATTATTTAACAAAAAATGAAACATTAAAAATTAACTGAGTGATGTTTTTATTTTTGGAAAGAAAGCATGATCCTCAAAAGCAAGTAGATTTGTATGATTAAAAATATCTCATGTTTCAGCGTCATAAAAAAAAAATATATATATATATATATTTAAAGTATAGGTTGCTAACTTATTAAAAACACTAAAAATATGTTAAAATTCCAAATCACTACATTATCAATAACACTACAAAGTTTATAGTTAAAAACTTTATACGTAACAAGGGTTTCAAATAGTATGTTATTTATATTTTTATATTTAAAAAATTAAATATAAAAATATATATAACATACTATAAAATAGTATGTTAGATGTATTTTTATATTTACTTTTTTGTTGTGCAGTCTTTTTAAAAAAGATCTCTTCATTGTTATTCTCGTTTTCTCATCTATATTCAAATTATTTAAAATTGTAGTTTTTGACAAAGTTATCTGTAGAACAGAAATTTTGATGTTAATAATTGCAAAGTTATTATTTAATTATTTATATTATATTGATCAATTTTAATTATAGTTTTTAAAATAAAATACTACTGTTAAAAGTTTTTCTCAGGTTCATGCCTTGGTTTTGGTTTTAACCCCACTTTGAATTTTAAATGTTACTTAAGATTCTCTTACAATGATTACTTGCAAATAAAATTCCATGATAAACTCAACCTTTATATATCATCAAAGGCCTGAAGAAGAGCTTAATCATGAGACCTTATATTATTTTCATTTATTAATTTTTTCACAACCTTCACACTTTATCTCCAATTAAATATAGTCCACATTTAAAACTTCACATTGCATTTTTATAAAAGCTGTTCTTTCAGAAATATAAACGTCAAGACTTTATCTTTATCTTCACCATGACATTCTAAACACTCATAGTTTTCTATATCACATATTACAATTACAGGTCAAGGTTTCTGCTGTGAGAGAATATTCAATGCTTTTAGCAACTCACATTTCACTTGTTCTTACATCTTCATTATCAGATAGAGATAAACTAGCCTTACAATTTAAAGTCTTGTATTCCTTAAAAAATAGTTTCTACAGCTTTAACACAATTTTCCTAACATAATTTGCAAAATAGAAAGTATTTAATTTTCTAAATTTTTAATGAAAAAAAAAAACTTATTTAGAGTTCTTAAGTTTCCACCATATCTACCTTTATATAAATACTCATTGTGACCCAGAGATAGTATTGTTCTATTTAAGATTTTACAATTAGCTGGTGTGTAAGACATAAAAGCATGGGTTATTAAATATTATAATTCAACTAGGCTTGTAGAACTAGGAAAGCTAGTATCTAAACCCTGATGTTCCAGTACATCATAGATGCAATTAAAATGTTAACCTAAGAATAGCTCAACTTTCTTACCTTTTAATTTAAAATCTAATGATAGTTTTTTTAACGTTATTGACATAATGCCCTAGAATAAAGGCAATATTCTCACAACAATCTGAACCCTGATACACACAAAATAAATTAGCATCATACACAGATGATTTAGAATTAATAACTTAAAAATGTAATATTGTATGTTTCCCACCATTATCTCCACCATTATTACCACCATTATCTCCACCATTATCTCCAGCAAAAAGGAGCTATAACTTTTTTTCGAAACTAACATCAAAGTTGATATGGTCAAAATTTTGAAAACTGTTAAAAAGTTTAATTTCAATTTAAGCTGTCAAAATTGTAACCATTAATACATAGACTATAAACAAAGTATTTCATTCACAATTGTATTGAGCAATATAGATTTCGCAGTAACATGTTCTTTACTGTTATGCATTTCTAGTTATAAAACACCAGAATGATACAAATAAATGAAATAATATTTATTGACGGAGATGCATTTGATAAAAGCGGATTAAACAACTTATAAGGCGTTTAATCTAATTATCGAAAGAAAAGAATTCTGCATAACTTTGTTTATTTTATATTTCAAAGTTTGTCTTGCTATATCAGTTGTTTAAATCAAATTCATTAGATAATAAAGACAGAACGCACTTCAGTTTGTTATTGCTTTAAACTGTAAATAAAAATTGTGGAAAAAAAGTTCAACTTTTTTTTAAATAAAACAAGTTTAAAACATAGCTCAAGATATAAAAAAAATATTTTGGATTTTCATGTTCATAATGAGTTGAAATTTTAATATTTGGTGGGCTTTATGAAAATATTACATTTCCAGTTAAAACAAATAAAAACAAAAATATAAATGAATTAATAACTAGTTTTTTATAAAAAAAAATATTAATGTCCACCAAAAATTAAATAGAAGACATTCATTAATAAGTATTCTAAATTTCAACCATCAAGCATAAAGATAAGTTATGAAATTTTAGTTGACCAAAGAAAAGTTTTCCCTAAAAATCATTAAAAACAAAAAACTGATCCTAAATCATTAGGGTTGGGGTCAATACAAATACAAATATGCCAAATTAGCCCAATTTTACCAAATACAAATATAAATACCTATTTGGCCCCCTAATCATTACCAATGTTTTGATAATATTGATTTTTATTCTACTTATTAATTTTAAAAGGAAAAATTTTTTATTATAATTTTTTTTTAATGGTGTTTCTGTTATTGTATGTCACTATAGTTTATCATTGCTATTCTTTCTTTTTTTATTTACTAGATTTTTTATTTGTTACTATAAATTGTTACTATTTATGTTTAGTATTAATTAAGCAAAAAGATGAAAAGTTTGCAAAAGCTTCAAAAGAAAATGAAGAAGAAAAAGAAAAACTAGCAAATGCAATTCAAAACTTAAAAATCGATAATGAAAGAGTTTGCACTGGACTTAAAGATGCTTTCAGTAGCTGAGATTTTTTTCTTTTTATTTTTGATTGATCACTAAATTTTACATCATTTTGACAACAATAAAATTATATTTTTATAATTATTTTTAATAATTAAAAATTATATTCTGATAATATTTTTTCCCAACACACGTTGATAAAAAAAGTTGTTATATTTCGAAAAAATTTTTATAATTTTAAATTTGATATTATTTGTAATTTTATATTTATTATATATTATTTATTTCTATTTTTATTTTTAATATTTATTCTATTTTTTTATGCTATAACTTCATTTTAGATAGAATGAATGCTGCTGAGAAGGCATTGACGGAAACAAAATCTGTTGCAGAACTTGAGATTTCAAAACGAGATAGTGAAATAGAGAGAGTCTCAAATTATCTTATTCGTTCATATGGTAAGAATTTGAAACAATTGTTTTATTGTATTGGTATTGTAAATGAAATGTTGTAAAATATCAAAATAAAAATACATATATATACATATATATATATATATATATATATATATATACATATATATATATATGTATATATATGTATATATATACAAAATATATATACATATATATATATATATATATATATATATATATATATATATATATATATATATATATATATATATATATATATATACATATATATATATATATATACATATATATATATACATATATATATATATATATATATATATATATATATATATATATATATATATATATATATATATATATATACATATATATATATATAAATATATATATATATATGTATATATATATATATATATATATATATATATATATATATATATATATATATATATATATATATATATATATATACACACACACACACACACATTATACACACATTATACACACATTATATACACATATATGCATGTTTATATATTTATATATGCATATATATATACATATATATATGTGTGTGTATATATTATATATATATATATATAGTAAATGACCACGATTGAAATTTGAATGGGGCCAGGGCCAGGTTTGATATTAAAAAATAGCCTAGGCCAGATTTGAGACTGGGGCCAGGCTATTGGTTATTAATGGCTAGTAATAAAGTATATTTTTTTAATTTAAAGTATATGTAATATTATATATACAGTAATAGTATTAGTAACTGCTGTAACTGGTGTGAGCCAGTGAGTGCGGTATTTTTTTTTTTTTTTTAATATTATCGGTTCCAACAAGGCTGCAAGCAACCACTAATTAGTGTTGGAAGTTACCGGAAGAGAAATAATGAAGATTGTAGACCAAGATAACAGTTGACAGACGACTTAAAAGATTGCAAATTATATGAAAGCAGGATGAAGGAAGCGAATTCCAGAGAACTGATGTTCGAGGAAAAAAACTAGAGGAATAAGAGTTTTTGAAGCACTTAGGAACAGTCACAGAAAAAGGATGAGACTTAATTGAATGACAAGTAACACAAGAATGAATTTTAGTAGATGGCAAAAGAGACGCTAGTTCTTTACAGCAGTGCCCGTTAAAGTATTTGTAGAAAAGAGAAAGAGAAGCAACATTATAACGATGTGATAATGGTTGAAGTTTGACTGTAAGAACAGGTCCAACTATGTTTACAATGCATTTTTGCACCTTGGCTAAATGAGAAAGTGCATCATTAGAAGATCCCCAGATATGGCAACAGTATTCCATACAAGGCCGGATTTGAGATTTATAGAGATAGAAAATTGAATTCAGAGTAAGAAAGTGTCGAGCTTGATAAAAAGATGCAACCTTGGCAGATGCTAATTTTGCAAGGGATTTGATATATGGTTTCCAAGAAAGGTCAGAAGTAAGAGTCAATCCTAGAAGATGAAAGGTAGATGACTCATCAAGTACATTACCGTTCCTAAATATGGGAAGGTCTAAATTATTGCGATAATGATTGGCTGAAAAAAATTGAGTTTTATCTGGGTTAAAGTTCGCCAGCCATTGTGAGCCCCATGCTGTAGCAGAAGTGAGATCCTTTTCAAGCTCAAATGTACCCTCCAAGCAATCAGAGAGAGTTGGCTTCTTATCATGACAAGAATAAATTGTGATTCATCAGTGAACAGTGCCACCTTAGATGTGAGAATATCTGGAAGATCGCTAATGTAAATTAAAAAGAGTATAGGGCCAAGGATTGAACCTTGAGAAACCCCTAAGATTACAGAATAAGAAGAAGAGTGCTGTCCATCAAGGACAATTTTTATACTATGATTGGAAAGGAAGGATCCAATAATCTTAAAGATGTTTCCAGATAAACTGTAAGAAGAAAACTTATGGAGACGACCAGCATCCAAACTTTATCAAACGCTTTAGAAATGTCAAGAGCAATGGCCTTAACCTCTTCACCTTTATCTAATGCACGATTAAACCTATTGGTTACTATCGGTTATTACTGATAGCAAATCAGCTCTAGAATGAGAAGATCGAAATCTGTATTGATGATCAGAAAGTAAGTTATTAGATTCAAAATGAGATATAAAGTCTTTGTTAATTAAAGATTCAAAAACCTTGCTTATGATAAGAAGAAGGTTATGGGTCGGTAGTTAGACAAATCAGATGGCTCTCCAAAATTTTTGAAAATAGGGATAACAGAAGCTGCTTTCCAGCTGACCAGAAAACAAGATTCTAATAAGCACTTGTTAAATAGTTTTAAAAGTATAGACGACAGTTCCGGAGAACACTTCTGCAAGACTATAACAGGTATGTTGTCCCGACCACAAGTTGTAGAAGAGTCTAAGCAGGAAATTACTTTAGATACAGAAGCTGGAGTAATACGAATGTCAAGCGATGGATAAACCTGTTTGGCGGCTATATCAGACAGAACACAACTAGTGCAATCAAAAGATGATATTGTTGAAATGCTCTTAGCAAACAACTTAGCTTTGTCTTTAGGTGAGGTGACAAAGTCTGAACCTTACAAGAGAGGTGGAATAACAGATTTGCCCTTATTACTGATACTGTTAAAGATTCACCAGATGTCACAAGAGCCTAATTTTTGTGATGAAATACAAGATTTCATGACCTGAGAATAGCGGGCTTTAGCGTTAGACAAAACCTTTTTACAATGGTTCCTAACAGTAAAATCAGTTTTCTGGAGAATTGTTTTGCTGATAGATATGGAAGTAATGGTTTCGATTGGCAATTGCAGCAGCACAATGTGAGGAAAACCATGGAGAAGAGTGAGGCTTGACCTGGAATTGCCAAGAGGGAATAAAGGATTTTATGCCAGCCTGAATCCACAAAGTTATGTAAGAAGCACATTTGTCAACAAGAAAATGAAAGATTTCTACCCTAGGGCCATCACGAAGAAAATCACAGAATGAATCCCAGTCAGCTTTAAAGTAGTTGTAAGATGTACGATGATAGGGGGATTCTAATGATAAAGAAGAATGAGATAATAGTTTTAGAGAGATCAATCTGTGATCAGAGGCACCTAAGAGTGAATGTGGAGAAACTGAGCACTGACTAGGATCAGAAACAAGACATAAGTTGAGTAGAGAAGGTAAATGATTCCGGTCGTCTGGAAAGTGAGTTGGAAAGTTGACTATTTGAGTTAGGGATTGAAAAAGGCAAAAGTTGTGGGCTTTAATGCCTGCAGAGTCACTGACACTAGAATCAAGCCATTCAGTGTGATAAGCTTTAAAGTTACCTACAATAACAATATTGGCTGATGGATAAAGAGAGAGGGCTTGGTCAATATGATCAGAAATAACATCAAGAAGAGTGCGGTCTTATGTTGAAGGAGAGAGATATTGAACAAAGAGAAAGGCAATAGAGTGAAGTGGTGCTAAACGAAAACACAAAAAAGAGTAGTCTTTGGATTCAAACCTAGTTTCCCAAAAAATGGGTGAGTTCTTATGAATGTAAATGCCCAGGCCAAGCATGTGACTATTGGAGTCTTTACCAATTAAAGGAAGATAACCATCATTACTAAGATCACAAGATGAGACAGCTGAACTAAAATAAATCCTAAGCCGTAACAAAGTGCTCCAATGTGGCCTTGGCAATGCACACCAAAAGTACAAGCAGGGACACTATCTATGCGCAACATGGCACTGTTAATAATTTGATATTTTTCAGCTTTTGATGGAATCAGCCTCTCTGAGAGCTACCACAGAGTTCGGAAACCTGACTACCAGCCGGCCTCATAGCCATAAAACTGAGTTTTAGAGTTGTACCCTCATTAGGAGATAATAGAATAAGTTGCCTAGTCATAAAAACAGAGACACTTTACTCAACCAAGAGCCCAAAGGCAGAGAGTGTTTTATGTTGGAGTTGGCATCTCCTAGCCTTTGCCTAAAAAGGCATATCCTACAAGGCAGCAGGGTATGAAGCAGATTGTATGTGTGGTATTAACACATTATGACAGCCGATTTGCTTGATTGCTGCTCATCCAGCAATCAAGACCTTCAAACTGTTAACTGATTATGCTTTAATCAACTCGCTTAGCAAGCTATTCCATAAATTTGCTGATCTGTTAAATATAACTTTTCACATTACGCTTGCTTAGTGATTTCTTTGACATATTTAAAGCTTTGACCTCTTGTTTGAGTTTGTTGAATACTAGTTTTTTTAATTATTTCCAAATTGGTAAAACCATTTAAGAATTTAAAAAGTTGATTCATATCTCCTTTTTGTCTCCATTTTGTCAAGGTAGTCAAGTCGAGAGACTTTTTATATGATGGTATTAATCGAGTTGCACGATGTCGGACTCTAATAAATCAATTTTTCCATTTCAAATAGGTGACCAAACTGGTACTGCAAACTTTAACAGTGGTTGCACAAACAAAACATAAAGTATTCTCAGGAGTCTGATATCTAAACAATTTAAGCATTTTCTAATCCAACCCAGCATTTGGTTGGCTTAGCCTACGCATTTTATTACATGATTTTTCCATTTCAGATTGCTTGAGAAGATTACTCCAAGATCACTTTCAGATTCTGTTGTATTTAACTTTTGTTCATTAATATACAGGGGTAATTTTTTATTAATCTGACCAAAGTGGGTGACCATACATTTCAAAATATTCAGTTTTACAAGCCAGTCTTGAGTTCACTTAAAAGCAAAATCAAGATCTGATTGCAAAGAAAGAGTTGATGTACTGGAAAGCATTTCATTCAAAATTTTGGTGTCAACTGCATATAGAATGTGGAACGGTGAAAGCTGATGCACAATTCTTTAAAATAGATGAATGTATATTATTAACACCACTTGATTTAGTATCTTTTAAGTTTTTTAATCTTCATATATAAAATCTTCATTTGTCATAATGAATTTTTGTTTAAGATATCAGCAATATCTTTTGAATTTTGAGTGGTTTCACTATTTTCTCCCTTTAATGCTTTTATAGAATCTTTGACTGCTT